AAGGAGGTCAAATGGCAATACAGCTTGCAATAAGTCCTGCAGGTAAAAAACCAAAATAACAAGATATTTATCACAAGTGATCACCTGGCTCCCAGGTAGGCTTGATTGCCTTTGTTCATGTATGTTTATGAAAGAGGCAGACGCATGTGGGAAGCACAAGTGCAGAATAAATGAAAAAACATTGCAAAATTCCATGTAAGTCAACTCACATCAATTCAATATGTGTGATTCACTAAGACCCAAACATGTGCATCTTACAATACTCACCTTCATGTTTGGTTTTTCTTGGTTACTCAGACTGAAAAAATCATGGACGGAAGTTGTATGCACATCCTTTGTTGAGGCAGGTAGTCCACTTCTTATTGATGACCTTCTTGTGCTTTTAGTTTTGTTGGTTGAATTCCACATTGTAGTAAGTTCAGATCGCATTTTCTTGAAAACGTGGGGCTGTGTGCATTTGACAGTGAGACCGAATCAGGAAGGAAACTTATAAAACCAAAAGATAAAATGGTTGGGGCCACAAAATTGACACACAGCCAACAAGATGAAGAGGAACAAAACAATATTATATATCTGTATGCCTAACATAAAAAATCAATTCAATTAATGTACAACTAAAGATTATATTGGATGAGAAAATGTAAACCTTCTAAAACATTGAGATGTCAACCCAACTCCTTATTAAAGTTATATAATACATAAATTACCCAACCATGCAAAAGATCTGGTTACTCAGACCAACTTGTGCACCGCAGAATTACTACTCAAATCAAATCAATATGTTTGAAAAAAAAAACATACATGATAATTTTAGATTAGGAAATGTCGTATTATTAACCATAATAAATTACAGAGTTTCCCTGGAATCAGAAAAAAGGTATAATAACATAACAATGACGAGACATAAAGCCATCAGGTAATCGCTAATCCAATAAAAACAAAGATATACAAGCGCCATATTCAACAAAAATATCAAAGTATGAGGACAATTTATAATGTTCATCTTGCTGTCGACAAAGAAGAATACATGAGTAGTGTTGTATTGAGCAAGGAATAACACTTTCATAGACAATAAATTCCAGAATAAAAACCTGAAGGACAGCAAAGCATAAATCTTCTAGCTCAGCTTTCAAAGCCCAGACACCCAATCGAGAAGCAAGTGAGCACCAGACAGCCAATGTCTCTTGAGCAACAGCTTCAGCTTTGCGAATGGGAAGAGCATAGCTGAAATACTGCTTTCAGTAAGATACAAAATATACATAGTATAGCAACTATTTGAAATCACCATGAAGTTAAAGGAGCATTCCAATAATAGAACATGTTGGTTCATATTGAGGTGGACTGTCTTATGATGTCAATGCACCTAGATGATTCAAATGGCTGTTGCCAAATTGAAGGGAAAACACAGTCAATGAAAATGTCATAAACCAGAGTAGGATAGTTTATAAGTGACTGGGGCTGCAAAGAATAAAATCAGCAGAGCAAACTACACAGTATTGAGAAGCCTAGAATGACATACATGGTTCGCATATTGTGCAAGCGATCAGCCAGCTTGATGAGCACCACACGCGGATCGTCAACCATCCCCAATAACATGCCACGCAGATTGTTTGCCTGACTGACAACAGGAGGATAATCAATTCCATGGTTTTCTGAAAACATTAGTATATGCCTTCTATGGAATCTGAAATTATCAAATACATGCCAATAAATGTTTGGAACTCATTTGCAAATAATCGGAAAAGAGTGAAGACATGACATCTTTAGCACAATATGACCTTGCTAGCATAGAAGAGAACATACTTCTTCTGAAGTAAGAGTGCTTCCACCGGTGTTTTTTTGTCGATGCCTGCGCAGTAGCTGCAATGCACAGACAATAACACTAAACAGAATGACAATGTTGAGTGTAAGAAAGTATAACTGCCATGAGAGCATCTACAATTCATTAATGATTGATACGACAACAGGATATCATGAGCTAAATTATCCCAGAAGTATACACAGATCTGCATTCAGACATCTGAAGGCAATAGATTGAAAATTGGCATGATTCAGCATATACAGAGAAAATTAATTGCAATTTGAACTATCAAAGTGGTGGCAATATGCAAAATCGTTGCTTTAACCTAATAGAATATGTTTGGCTGTTTGCAATGACTGTCAAGTTGTTGCAACATCATGTATTCATGTTGAACTTGAGCAGCACATCTCTCAACCATAATATATTGCATCCTAAAACTATAGTGCCAAGTCAGCTAGCCCTTCTAAATCAATGTCCGCACTCAGCACTCAACAGGGTTTTTTCTAACATATGCATCACCTGATTTATGTAGCTTAGCTTTGAAACACCAGATACCAAACTAGCAACATCATCTCCAAACTGCTCTTCTATGCTCTTCAAGTTCTCAGCTGTATCATCAATAACATCATGAAGAATACCAGCAACAACTGTATTGATTGCCTACATGAGACGCAATGGTGGGTTGGGGAAGCCAGAACAAAAGCAATAATCAACTAGAAAGAATAAACAGAACGCAAGGAAAGTAATACCCTTTCTCCAGTTGACGGGACCAAGGCAGCTAAGATTTTCCCAGTATGTATACAGTGTGTGACATATGGATCTCCTGTTTTCCTAAATTGCCCAATGTGGGCAGTACTTGCAAAAACAATTGCTTTCTGCACCTGTATAACATTGAGAAAATCAAACTGGAGAGCGAAAATGAAAACATTCAGCTGAAGAAATGCTTATTGAAAATGTATCATTTGTTTAACACCTTTGGGTCCTCAAATATTGGATATCCAGTCACCTCTACTCCTTCAAATATAAGAGTGTCTGCGTGGATACAAGATAACAAATATGAGGGAGGGAAGAAATGGATGTTAATCTTACTTAAATGGGAGCATAGTTGGCTTACTCCAGAAAGCCAGGAAAAAAAATTAACTAAGCAGTAATAAAAAAACCAGGTTATTCTTCTACATTCTATATTTCTCTTGTTTGCTAACCACAATTAATCTTACATGTGAACATAATACTTCCTACTAAGAAAAATAAAGACATAACAATTTATACAATCCAACAAAATACTTCCTACTAAGAAAAATAAAGACATAACAAATTTATACACTTTAAAAGGAGATTAAGAGCTTATCGACTATAACATTTATGAGATAGAAGCACTCAAGCACATAGCTATGCTCACATGACACTTAATCATATTTAGAAGATAATTAGATAAACAATTGTTTCAGCAGTTAACCCTCCAATGAAATACCCAAATGCACAAACAAGCGACCACGGGGAGAGGGAGAGGGAGGGAGCTACCGGGCAGTTGCTCGATGCGAGGCCAGAGGAAGTCGACCTTGGTCGACAGGCACGCCCCCGAGGCGATCGCCACGGCCGTGACCGTAAGCTGCGCGAGCGTCGACGCCACGGCGGCGTGCCCGGCCCCGCCGCTTTTCCCCGCCGCGGCGGCCGCGGCGATGACCTCCCCGGCCCCCAGGAGCGCGGCCGACGCCACCGCGAGCCGCGGGGCCACGTGCTCGAGCACGCACCCCAGCCGCATCCGCGCCCGGCCCCGGCGCAGCCCCAGCGCCGCCGCCGCCGACGGGAGCATCACCACGCGCCGGCCGAGCATCCCGGCGTCAGAGGCGGACGTGGACGCCGCCGGCGATGGCGTCATGCGACGGCGCGGTTTCTATCTCATCCCTCACGCGGGGAGGTGGGAGGGGTGGGGGGTGGGGTGAGGTGAGGTCGCGAGGAGGCGTTCGCCCCGTTTTTCTGTGGATGTGGCTGGTAACGGGCCGACTTGGCCAGCGGCGTCGCCTCTTGCTTCTCCTCGGCTGGCTCTGGCTGCCGTCGTGTGTTGTTCTGTCACGGCCTCACGGGTTGTCACGCTTCTCTCATCTTTCTTTTCCGGTTATTGTCGCTTAGCTCGATTTTTTTTATCAGTTCTGATTCTTTTTGTACTGGTCGTGTTCAAACTGCGAAATGATAGGAGATTTTTCACTTTTTTTTAAAATTTGCTGCTACTAATTTTTTCAAAACTAATTAAAGTTTCTAACCTTAGACCATGTTATAGATACTCCATCCGTCTCGGAATATAAGCATTTTTTAGAGTTGGACACGGTTATTAAGAAAGTAGGTAGAAGTGAACGTGGAGAGTTTATGATTGGTTAAGTAGTGAAGATATGTGAGAAAAGTGAATGGTGGAGAGTTGTGATTGGTTGGGAAGAAAATGTTGTGGAGAAGTTGTTATATTTTGGGACAAATATTGAGAGCTAAAAGTTGTTATATTTTGGGACGGAGGAAGTACCTAGTAATATATTCATATATTCAGGATTTGTCAACATCAATTGTTTGCCCAATACTCCCTATGTCAAAAAAAAAAAAAGGCAAACCCTGAGTTTCCGTGTCCAACTTTGACTCTCTGTCTTATATGAAATTTTTTTTATAATTCGTATTTTTATTGTTGTTAGATGATAAAATATGATTAATACTTTGAAAGTGACTTGTCTATTTAATTTTTTTTATAATTTTTTCAAATAAGACGGACAGTCAAACGTTGGACACGGAAACCAGGATTTGTCTTTTTTTTTGGACGTAGGGAGTAGACCATACAGATAGATATTCATTCACGATTTGTCAGCATCAACAATTTGCTTGTCAGCATCAACAATTTGCTCCGAATAAACAAAAAACTTGACAATCTGTTTCGCCAAAAAGATTACTATAATTCAGTATGTGAAATCAGTTGAGTACTTGAGTTCATCAGAAACCAGTGTGTATTTAGTTCAAAATGTATATCCCTGCACGTCAGTCCCAGAATATAATGGCTTTCAGATTATTGCCGTGCGCACTGTTTGGTGTAACAGATTGCAGGCGACCAACCAACCAGTCGAGGGCTCCAGGAATCCAGGCTCGCTCCAACCAACATCGACGCAAGTATAGGCCTTCTTTCTTGTCTCCGGTTCTGATGTAGGACCGTCAGAGAAATGTGTCATGGGATCAGATTTTGTTGATACAAATTGCATTTGCCAAACATAACTTTACACAAACTTTTTACATCAACATGCGTTTCACTCATCACATGTGAACAAATGCATCCGATAGTTAGCTGTAACATTCAAGGAAATTCACAAGACTCGATGGGTACTACTACACTACTACCCATGACAAAACTGCAGTGGTAATGTTTCAAGTAGTCAGGCTCTCATGCATCTTTTGCCTTCAGTAGAATCGACACCGCGAAGCATATCGCCTGAGCAATGTAAGGTGTGACCATGTAAGGCCTTCCACACCAAGATAATTTGTTCCCATGATCATCTTTGATGCAAAGATTGTTAGTGTCAACGGAAGAATCTTACAGGCAGACCTGCTACTTAGAACAATGAGGTCCCTCCTGAGGGGAGGCGACCTGAGGCTTCCAGTCCCTTCAGAGTACTTGCCAACCAGTCCAAGCCCTCATAAAGACCATCACCTTTGAGGGCACAAGAGCCTTGGATATGCCAGATGCGATTCTTTAAATCATAGAGGCCAAGGCCTTCGCACACCTCCAACGGCGTCATTGCCCCTTTCTGACAAAACAAAGGAATGCTGCATTAGACAGGATCAGCAATTCGGCATAGATCGTTCTAATTACTAGTAGTAGTAAATACTAGAGGGCAAACATGCCATCCTATGAAAAAGTTTCAAAGGCTTCACCGCATATTCAGATTCTGTCATCATCTATTTGTTCAGATATCATCCTTAAAAAATATGGCAACCTGCATCCTATTATGGTATGTTTGATGGCAACTAGCATTACTGGTGCAGTCACATCAGATTCAGACATGCCACAGAAGCACAATCTCATCCATTCGTGTATTGAACTAAATTACTGGAATCAATAGCAACCCAACACAAAACCAAATAAGGTGCAACTTTACAACACTATTATAGATGAAAAATTGTGGGACATCATATCTTTCCACGAATGTAAAAGATCACATGATGCAAACAGCTCACGAGTAACACTACCTGTTTACCTTCATACAACGTTCACAACAGTCTAGAGAAGTAAAACAATCCTCTTTGTTATATGAATGAATGCTGGGAAATACATTTATGGATGGCAATACGGAACATGTTCACAGGTTTCAAACACATGTGCATTCAAGCACGTGTTGCCCCGCAAAAAAAAAAAAAAAAAGAGCACGTTCATGTTAAAACACAAAAGGAGTTCTCAAGTGCTGTTGACTTACCATATCTTGTTTATTGGCAAATACCAATATTACACTGTTAAGCATCAAAGGATCATTAACGATTGCCTGCAACAAAGCCACCAAACCTTAGCTTCACTAACAAGGCAAGCTATCTGATGAGCATAACTTAAAATAGCTTATTAAACCTGAAACTCCGCTTTCGCTTTTCCGATTCTCTCTCTATCCAATGAATCAACTACATAGATCTGCAAATCAGAACGTGCAAAAATAACATATAGGAATAAGTTGCTATTACAATTTATAAATGTAGTTGGGTATGCTCATGAATACATCCGAATTTCAGTATCACGCCGATCTCTCAAGGAAAACAAATCAACAAGAAAATAGAATAAAGTTTTACTGACGAGCATCATCTAATTAGTAACTGAAGAGTAGTATGGTTTACATTATAGACATAACATTAGCTAATTAGTAACTTCATTAGGTAATATAGCACAAAATAATCCAGAATGAGCTTATATCTGGAAAGATGGCTCTGTTCAGCTGTAATAAATCAAACCAAATCAAATCAAGCAAAGATATCATTTACAGTATCAACAAAAGAGCAATTCATTAAGTGTTGAATTAGTAGAAACATTGCTATAATCTCATACAGTGAAAGATCTGACAAACTCGACAACATTATCCATTAACTGGATAATTAAGCATGATTATATTATATTACAATACCATTACATGAAAATAGATAGTATGCCAAGCACAGGGTACTTCTAGATCCGTAAGTTTTCATGTTAATTAAAAGAGAACTGGGAAATTCTATACCACTCATTTGGGTTATCTCACTATCATAATTGTTTAAATAAATGAGTTCTATAACTCCACATAAATTCAAATCGAATTACCATAGATTTTAAACACACATATTTGCGGTATCAATATTGGTATGCATTTAATTTTTTAATTAAAAATGTTCAAAGGATCATCTAGCAACCTCACCAGCCTTATGGATACTTTGGATAAAACAATTGCATACATGCCATACAACTTTAACCAATAAGTCAAACTAAGAAATATTTGTCTCAAAGTCAACCACAATAACCTATGCAGAATGGCTATATAATACTATATCATTACACAAGTCTGTCAAAATCAAATAACCACTTCTTTCCTTCTTTAATGCAACGATGCACAAATCTTTCACGTATTCCCAAAAAGATAACCACAAAGGAAACAAAACATACCAAACCATCCGTATTATTGAAGTAATGCCTCCACAGAGGCCTCAACTTCTCTTGGCCACCGACATCCCATACTGTAAACATCACGTTCTTGTACTGTACTTTCTCAACATTGAACCCTGGTGGTACAGCACAAAGGCAGAAGCATCAATCAGTGTCCCAGCAAAGTGAGATGTCAGATTTTTCAAATAACCCCATAAAAGCCATGATGATAATATCTGTTAAGCGTTAAGGCCAGTCTGATGAGCAAACTAACTGGTTGTCTCTCATAGGATAATTGCTATCTTAAGGGCAAATCGATGCTTGCTAATCAGAAATATCAGATTCTTCCCCCATCTTGCTAATCCATGTGGAGTTCATAATTCTTTTTGCCCCTCTGCTGCCGACGGAGTTAACTTCTTGACTAGTTTAACCGTAAAGCCTTGATTTAACTTCGAATTTCGCACAGAGGACATGAGCGAAAAAAAAAATATTGCGACAAAGTAATCAGCAACATACCAATCGTAGGAACAGTCGAAAGGACCTCCCCGATGTGCAGCTTGTACAGGATGGTGGTTTTGCCCGCGGCATCCAGCCCAAGCATCACGACCTAAAGAGCAAGCGTCACAGAGCAAAAATCAATCAAGAAGTTCTCGAAGAACACACCCAAAAAAAAAGAGAATATTCTTCTTACTTTTGACAAACAAAAAAAAGAAAAATCACCCATACCCTCATCTCGCTGGTGCCGAAGAAGGCATCGAACAGCTTGCGGAACGCCTGCCCCATCCGCCGCGAAACACGGATCGATCAACCACCGAGAATTCCTCGCACGAACGCCAAGCTTCTACTATTTCTCGTCGAATTCCCTCTTCTTCTTCAAGCTGTGTGGTAGTACGAATGTACGGTACAACTGCGCAAGGCGTCAGAGCGAGGAACCCTCCTTTTCTTCGTCGAAAAGCAGCGTTCGTTTGTTGAGGGACTTGAGGCAAGCCAGCAGCCCAGAAAGTTCGAGAGGATATGCGTAGCATCTGGGCCGTCCGTTTGGATGCGAGCGGTGGGGATCGGTGAGATGGCATCGCGTAGGCAGCACGCGGGCTCTCCTACCTAGCTGGTCTCTCGGCCACCTGCGGCTGCGGGCCGGCGACTCCGTTGGCGACTCCGTCAAACCATGAGCACAGAGAGCGTACGGGCACACGGTTTATTCTTTTTTCGTCTCTCTCTTTATGGGCTTGATAAGGCCGGTGCACGGCGCAGGCTGCGAGCCCAGCGTTCCATGGACCAACTAACTTTGCCTGCCTGTCATGGACCGTAAATTACTCGAACAGTCAATGAGGCCCAAGTAGGCCCAGTTACCAGGTAACAATTAACACAGTCCTTTTTCAAATGGGAAAAAGTACACTGAAGGTCCCTCAACTTGTCATCGAGATACAAAATCATCCTCCAACCACAAAATCAGATATTCGGCGTCCCTTAACTAATCAAAACCGATCACAATAGATACTTCGGTAGTTTTGAGCCTGATTTTGTCCTACGTGGCACACGAGTCAGCGTGAGACCCACATGGGCTCCACATGTCAGGATGCCCGATCATCTCTTATTTCTTCTCTTTTCTCTTTTATTTTCTTCTCTTCTGTATTCTTCAGCGGGGAGGCAACGGGGCCGAGACGGGTGGTGGCCGAAGCGGAGCAAGTCGGCGCTCGCGGTTCTCCACGCGAAGCGGAGCAGGGGGCGGGAGCCGTCGGAGTTGGGCGGCGACGAGGCGCCAGCAGCAGCCGCCGCCGCGCTCGCCTCCCACCACCGCACTCGGTTGAGGGCTAGGAGCTTGGCCTCCGCCGCGTTTGCCTGCCACCACCGCGCTCCCCTTCGACGCCTGCGCACGGCCGGTGCATGCCCGCGCTGTGGAGCTCCGCCGGGCTGCCGCCGTGGTTCCCCAGGGGGCGGCGCGAGCTCGCCGGCCTCCGCGCCCCCCTCGTGCGGCGGGGTGGCGTGGCGATGCGGCGGCAGCGAGCTCCTTCTCACCTGCGCGATGGTCGCTCCGGCAGCGAAGGCAGTGGTGGGGATGGAGTCGGCGACGAGCGCGGCGGTGAGGGATGGCTTCGCACGAGCGTCTATACGGGGTGCTCACCATGATGACGGTGACACAGCTGCTCGCGGGATGGATGGAGATCGGCGCAGGCGGCGGGCAAACGAGCTCGCGAGGAGACGGGAATCGAGGGGCTAAGGGGAGTCAGAGGAGGCTCAGAGCACGCGGCGGAAGCAGCAGCAGGACGCCGCCGGCGCTGCTGCTTCGCCGGTGGCGATGGAGATCGGCGCGCTGCTGCTTCCCCTCAACTTCTCTCTTCCCCCTATTCGATTCGGCGGGGACGGCTGCTTGTTGGTTTGATTGCTTCGAGCGCGCCGCCGTGTGGCTCTGTGTAGGTTTCGTCGGCGGCGGCGGCAGCGGAGTCGTGGAGGGGAGGGGAAAGGGATAGAAATGGCGGCGGCGGCAGCAGCACCAGAGTCGTGAGCCTTCCTCGTAGTCGGCGTCCGCGTCCGCGTCGGCCTCGGCGTCAGAGGCGGCCGGCTTCTTGGCCTTCTTCTTCTTCTTCATCGGCGGCGTGTGCGGGTTGGACTCGGCAATGCGTCGACACCTAGACCGCTTGCTGCGTGCGCCGAGATGACGAGCACAAGCGGCTCCTGGCGCGGCGACACGGACGCGGTCCACCTTGACGTGGATTGAGAAAGAGAGAGAGGAGGAAGGGAGAGAAGAGGGTAAAGAGATGATGATGGCATGGCATCCTGACATGTGGGGTCTACGTAGGTTCCACGCTGACTCGTGAGCCACGTAAGATAAAACCGGTGTCAAAACCACCGAAGGACCTATTATGACCGGTTTTGATTAGTTAAGGGATGTCGAATATCTGGTTTTGCGGTTGAAGGATGATTTTGTAACTCGATGACAAATTGAGGGACCTTCGGTGTACTTTTTCCTTTTCAAATGTCACACAAAAATTCTTCCATTGTTTCCCCCTGTTCAAATGTCACACAAGTTGTATTTTGACAAAAACGATTCTCTAACACTTCATTTTTGAATGAAGTACTTCTTTCCTTAGATCGAATTGCATATGAAAAAGGTACATTGGCAATCATATCCTGTAATCTTTCAACAAAAAATGATCATCTAAAAAAAGTGTTGCTGACATGCCATAGGATCTGTGCAGCACTTTTTTTTAAAAGAGAGAGAGAGAGAGAGAAAGGGGAAAATAATTCTGCACTAATTTTCTTCCTGTACTACCTTTCACCAATCGCCAATTGGCAATTGTGTCTGTACTCTGTAATAATCTGTACTGTACTACTACCTTTCACCAATCGCAACTTGGCAATTGTGCAAAAATGTAATCGAATCTTTCTTGTGTTCGACAAGCAGCTGCAAAGCTAACAATGACGTCTCACGAGAGCACGGTCTTGAGCTTGTAGTTCTTGGCGAACCCGCTGTACACGACGAAGTTGAGCGTGCACATGGCCGCCAGCATCCAGAAGAAGTAGTCGAGGTGGCCCTGGTTGAGGTCGTCGGAGATCCACCCGTGGCCGCCCGCCGTCGCCGTGAACGCCTCCACGACGGCGTAGATGAGCGAGCTCAGGTAGCTCCCGAGCGCGATGGTGAGCAGCGCCAGCGACGTGCACGTGCTCTTCATGGTGTCCGGCGCCTCGCCGAAGAAGAACTCCAGCTGCGCGATGTAGCAGAACACCTCCGCGCCGGCGAGGAAGAAGTACTGCGGCATCTGCCACGCGATGTTGATCGCCTCGCCGCTCGCCGCGGCGTTGAGCCGCTTCGTCTCCACGAGCGCGGCCACCGCCATGGCGAGCGCCATGAGGAGGCGCCCGGCGCCCATGCGCTGCAGCTGCGACGGCTCGCCGGCGGCTCCGGAGGAGGAGAAGCCCCTCAGCGCCGGCACGATCACCTTGCTGTAGAGGATCACCCATGTCAGGACGCAGAGAACCTGGAAGGAGCTTAACGACGCCGCCGGCACCGGCACCGAGAAGATGTGCATGTCCATGGCGCTGCCTTGCTGGATGAAGGTGGTGCTCATCTGCGAGTATGCCGCGGACACGATGATGCTGGTCGCCCAGATGGGGAGCAGACGCAGAAGGATCTTGAGCTCCTCCACCTGCGTCACGGTGCAGAGCTTCCACGAGCTCGCCGCCTCCGGCCTCTCCTCCAGGTCCGACTCCGAGACGACGGCCGCCTTGTCAAGAAACGTGAACTCGCTGGTGTGCGCGATCTTGGGCTGGGAGTCGACCTTGTCGCTGACCTCGTACAGGAGCTCGGCGTCGGCGGGGAGCTTCATGCCGACCTTCCTGAAGGCGGCGACGACGACCTGGGCGAGGCTCTTGAGCGGCGTGCCCGTCGGCAACCGGCGCTTGTACATGGGCGTGGCGAGCACGAACGCGGCGAACGCGACCGCGATGCACGCGGTGGCGATGCCGAAGCCGAGGCCCCAGCTGACGTTCTGCTGGATCCAGACGAGGAGCACGCCGGAGACGATCAGGCCGAAGTCGACGCAGAGGTAGAACCAGCTGAAGAAGGCCGCCTTGCGCTCCCTATCCGCCGCGCTGTCGTCGTCGAACTGCTCGGCGCCGAACGGCAGCAGCGACGACCGCACCCCGCCGCTCCCGACAGCCACGAGGTACAGCCCGACGAACGCGACGGTCTGCGCCGCGGCCGCGCCGGTGCCGCACGTCGCGCCCGCCGCGCACAGCGCCGCCGTGGCCGGCAGGAACGCCGAGAACGTGACCAGCATCATCCCGAGGAGGTAGACGGCGAGGGAGATGAGGATGGTGTTGTAGTTGCCGAGGAACGTGTCGGCGACGATGGCGCCGAAGATCGGGGTGAGGTAGCTCGTGCCGTACCACGTCGTGACGTTGGACGCGCTGGCCAGGTTGCTGCCATGGAGGACGGTCTCCAGGTACACCACCAGGTTCGTCGAGATGCCATTGAACGCCGTGCTCTCCAGGCATTCGAACCCTGCACCATTTGCACCGGCCTCGATCCAGTGAGCACTAGCTCAAACTGACACATTGTTCCATGCATATTGCATTGCAGCTGCTGCAAATAAACGAGATTTTACTATGCGCCAATGCTTACCTAGAACTATTGCAGGTGCCTTGCTGCCGCCGCGTTTCTTATCCTTGAGGAGTGGCACTTGCAGGCTATCATCTTCAGTCTTTGGTCCGTGACTCTGCAATTTGAGACAAAATAGCACAAAATATTATCAGAATTCAGAAGCAAGGAGAGAATATCTGAATTTGCACGCACATCTTCGTATCAGAAAAGAAAAGGGGAAAAAAACGAATCGACACATATTAATTTGTGTGTTTGAAAAGTAGTGGATGGTATGACGTAATGCAAACATCAGTGCTTGTGATTGTCGGGTGAGGAAGAAAGAGAAAGGGTCCTAAGGGGGTGTTTAGATGGGGCTAAAACTTTTTAGCCCATGTCACATCGAATGTTTGGACGCTAATTTAGAGTATTAAACATAGACTAATAAAAAAACTAATTTTATAAATGAGAGCTAATCCGCGAGACGATTTTTTAAAGCCTAGTTAATCCATAATTATCAAAAGTTTACTGTAGCATCACATTGTCAAAGTCATGGCGTAATTAGACTCAAAAGATTCGTCTCGCGAATTAGTCCAAATTTATGGAATGGGTTTTGTAATTAATGTATATTTAATACTTTAAATTAGTGTCCAAACATCCGATGTAACAGGGACTTAAAATAAGTCCCTAGAAACCAAACAGCCCCTAAACTCCTCGTAGGGATTTGGTGAAGGGTAGACGAAACAGTAGTTGTGGTGTGTGTGCTTGCGTTTCATAATTTTAGCCGGTTCTTGGAACCTTCTCTGGGCACCGCGTGTCTGATAGTGACAACATGTTTGATGTATCTATCAAGTGTATTATGATTATCTGTGTGTATTATGATTATCTGTGTATTTTATTGTCTTTTGAGAAACATAGTATCCTCTTATCTTTGGTCAAATATTGTTGCTGCGAGCTAAGCCACCTGCTCCCTTCCATAAAAAAAATCTGCATTCTTGCTGTCGTCATTGCTCAGCCAAGATTGTGTTTTCTTCAAAGATAGATGTACCGGCGCATACTTCTGATCTCAATTTTTTTTCCCTCGTCTCCTGACGCGAGTCCTGACGCGCTGCACTGCCATTTTGGGCACCCGGTACGCGAGGAGGAAATGAAGTGAACGCACTGTTGAAAAACTAAACTGACAAACTGCACCAATGCTGAGACGTGTTGCAAGGTCGATGGTTGCACTGTGGCCTGAAGAGAGATGGGAAGAGAGATCGAGATTCGAGAGACGGCGGCCATTACCTCGGGCAGGAGCGCCGCGCGCTGTCCGCTCTCCATGGCGTCTCCGGCGTCCATGACGATATACGAAATTCGCCGAAGAGGTCAGTGTCTTGTCAGCAAATGAGAGCTTTAAGTTGAGCAGGCTAGCCCCTCTTCTTCTGTGCTTCCCTTCCCAGGCTTTGCTCTGCTCGCACGCTCTCGCTCGGCTCTCCTGCTAATGATGGAAGAAGCTGCGACAACAGCTTATATATATATATATATAGCGCGCGCGCGACAAGGTGGTGTTGCTGTACAGGTGAAGTGCGGGATTAGTTAAGCGTCGCCGTCGCGCGCGCAAGATTAATTACTAGTCGTACTTTGTCACGGGCATGCGTACTGGGCGCGCGTACGAACGCTTCAAAGCAGCGGCCCCCCGCGGTTGGTTTACCCCGTACAAGATCCCGCGGCCATATCACCTAAAAAAAATTCTTAATCACATTCACACCCAAGGCCAACACTTCTTCAACCAACACCCGCACTGCATGTAGCCATGCACAACAAAACAGACGGAAGTTTCCATGCGTAGAGCGGTAGGCGGAGGGGCGCGAGGATTGTGTCGGATCTTCCGAAGAATCGTCGTCGTCGCCGTCGCGCTCGGCTCTCGGCGTGTGCAGTGCAAAAGCTCGTGCGCGCGCGGTCTCCGGTCGCCACTGGCCCTACCCACCCATGTCGCCATGTCGGATTTATGTTGTACTCCTCTCCTCTGGGCAGAAACGTGGGTGGTTTACTACTTTGGCAGTTGGCATAGGGAAGTGGACTGAACTGGGTGGGTGGAGATTGGAGAATGGCGATATCATGCCGGAGTTCAGAACCCGCGGCTTGGGCTTGGCCATGTCGCTGTCCGTGTGGGTAGGTGGCAGTGAAGAGAGGGAGATGAAGATGCGTAGATGGGCCGTGGATGGATTGGCAGGAAATTTTGGGGTCAAACTTTACTCGTCGATTGTGATCATTACGACAGGGATGTGATCCCGTTCGAAGCCCTATCCTTTTTTTTTCTCCCTTTATCTGTATTTGGATATACCTGTACTGCACCAATGAGTTTTGCCATTTCGGCCGAGTTTTACGATCGTTTTTTTTTTTTTTGCGTTCTTCCGAGAATTGGATGCAGTTTCATGCGTGGAGTGGAATTAGAATTGTTCTGCCAGGGTAACAGTTAACGAAGGCATTAACTGGAGATAGATGGTAGAAATGCTGAAGAAAATGTGACACGACGTATTTGCAAGGTTTGACAGTCCCGTTATGGTAGATAAAACTGTATTAATTTAACTGAATATACTAGTCTCATCTCAAACTTAGTCCCAACTCTGAACTGTGTTCGCACAAAAAATGCCCCAAAACTCTGAACTTCAGAAGTCATGCATATATATGGATTTACCTGCCAGAGCACCTACTGCTCGATGAAGCGTGGAAATCCAAGGGCAAAAGACACAAGAAGCTCTGATTTCATCTCGAAATAATTTTTTTTGAAGGAAATCTCGAAATAAAAATTAACCAGCACGTGTAAAATTAGGAGAACCCTCTCGCTGTCAAGCCAAATGAGGATGGAGAAAGTTTTTAGGTTCGCAAAAGTCATAATGTCTCGTGGAATTCAACCCTGCAGTGAAGTTCTGGACCTTAGGAAAGGTAGCTATTCCAAATTTCCAGTGCACTCTTAAATCTGATGCATACAGGTATTTTGGATTTTGAGACTGCCTATTATTAGTCACTAATTAAAATTTTTAAACAGTCACAATTTGGGGTGGTTGGAGACACGTGGTAGTCTGTTCTGCGATACGTATATTGTTCTTTCACACAAGGAACTTAAGGAGATAAAATGCCTGGTCAATCCTTTAACAAACTGCCTGTTCTTGCCCTCTAGGTAATGCTGACTGTCTTCTCAGATTAGCAGGGGCAGAGCTAGAGTGTTTGAGGGGGGTGCCCAGGAACCCGGTCAAGAAAATTTTGTAGCTATACTTGACCTATTTTCACCATGTGTGTACCCCCCTCGATACAAATTTAGACACCCGCATTAGCTTAAACTTGATATAAAGCAGAGTAAGTTAAACAAGTGGCACCTCCCTCCATCTCGCTCTAGCTCCGCCCCTGCAGATTAGCATACATTGATAACGTACTAATTGTAACGCGATCTTTCTGAAGATGTTTCACCAAACATTGGCTAGATGTCACTGAAGGAAACAGTTGATTGTTTTTCTTCAACTTCAAGAAATACTGACTGACCTATAAAAAAGTAATTTCTGCAACAGTTGGATAGCTGATCCAAGATTGCGTCGATTTTTTCAACTCTGTTAAAGTATTAACAAAGTATCAAGATATTGTGATTACGATGATGAAGTAGGTATAGGGAAACAAAAGTCAAGAGTTCATGTACAAATGGTATAGTGGACTCCCATATGTACAAAGTGAAAAATTGAATGAAAACAGAAAGTGATGGAAAACTTTGGTCATATGAAGTTTACCAATCTTGTTCATGTGCTTAGAATGTTCTCCATGTGAACAAACAACACGATGTGCTTCGAATGTTCTCCATGTGAACAAACAACACGTGCCACAATGAATTATATAACGAATTGTGTAAAACAGAACAAGGGTTAAAATTCGTTGTGTCAACGCAAGATTCCTGGTCTTCTCTTCTGGAGTGATGAACAGATAAGCGCATGCAAATTAAGGAGAACCTTCTTATTTTGATCACAGGACCGTTCCAATTTTGTGGTGGTTGTGAGATTCCATCTCCATAATGTAACTATATAAAATTGATAAGAGGACTACAGCTATGCAGTCAGACGTAAACCATATCAGGTTTTTGACAATTTCCCCCCTTTAGTTGCCCTGTTCTCAGTCATCAACATCTTACATCAAGAAAAAATCTTCTGAGTTTTGAAGCTTGCTTGAAGAAAATGCAGAACTTGCCGACAGATATGTGTTTTATCTTTTTATCTTGATAAACTAGACTTAATCCTGCCAATAGGTTGGTACAACTAATACCTGAAGTTTCTCTTACCACAATCCAACTACAGCTAAAACCTTCCAAAACTGATCAGATCAAATCTTGAAATTTGACCAAAGATATCATCCTTGAAAAGGTTGGTGGATAAGTAGGTGAATAAGTGCTAAACATAATCAGGCATGCAGTCAGAGAATATCAAGAAGCGAAAAATTATGGGGAAATGAGAAAATGACATTAACCTGGTAGTAGTTTTCACTTTTCAGCCACTTCACAATTTACGCCAACGTACAATCACCTACTGCATGCATGAATTTCTTGCTGTTGAGCACTGCACAAATATCTTTTATAGTTTCGACGGAGATATGAAACAAAACAGTATACTAGCTAGCTTCAAAACTTAAGAAACATAAAGGTACGAACATTGCCATCAAGGGAACATATATTAGTAGCATATATACGTATGAATACTGCCACCAGGGCATTTATACTAGCATCGAAACTTAAGAAACGTAAAGGTCCGAACATTGCCATCAAACCCTCTTTGGTCCGTATTCTGTAGCTTGTACTTCCTCTCTGTCCCGTAATAAGATCATTTATAGCTCATTCAGTTTGTCCCAAATTAAATAAGTTTATTTTTAGAGTAATCATTACATCGGAGTAAAAGTAGAAATAATTATATTAGGAGTAGATAAAGTGAAAAATAGTTACACTAGGATTTGATGAGGTCGGAGCATCCAGTCTTTTTTGGTTTTATATTGGTATGTGTGAGATGGGTGTAAAATGAACTTATTTTGAAATGAAGGTAGTAGTATATGGCAAGTAAAATAAATGCTACATGGTGTAATATAAGCAGCTAAAGTTGATTCAGATACCAAACAAGGAATGTTTCTGAAAGTGTTCAATTTGCTGCTAGATTACTAGATATGCAGTCCTGTCTATTTTGATAGTGTTTCATAAATTACCTCCTTATCAGTTTAAGCAGTGGTTCTAAACAAAATACATGGCATGAAATTTATCATGCCAGTGAAAATGATTATAGATGTATTTACATGTTACTCCTGAGCTATCAAAGCCACGCCACAATATTGGATCAAAGCAAGGAACTAGAGAAACTAATTGATTCTGCTGAACTTCGAATCCGAGCTGTATAATAGAATATGAAAAAGGAAATATACGCTTTACTGTACCAGAAATCAAGGTACAAACAGTTTCACCTTTCCATAAAGGAAAAAAGCTCCTGAGTTACAGCAATGAAATTGAATACTCCTGAGTACTTGAATTGCATGTCTATGTCACAAGGACACAAATTGCCGAAAGCAAATCTTCTTCCCTGGTTGGGGTAGTAGATTAGCAGTAAGTTCAGATATCAACTTGGCAGACTGTGACATGTGAGTAGATTAGCAGTAGCTCCAGAGTTCAGATATCAATTTGGCAGACTGTGACATGTGAACATGTGTCCTGTACTAATATTCGATTTGATCCATTGCTTCTGATATCAAAAAGCAAAAGATCAAACAGGTTTAATAAAATAGCAGATAATACAGAAGTTGCAGTAAACAATAACAAACCAAAGACCCTGGCACGAATCCGCGGCTCTACGCAGCTGAATTAACTCTCCTTAGATAAAGCTGCATATATAGTGCTAAAGAGATATTAAACCAAGTAACCAACGGCGGAAACCCACTGCATGGTGGCACAGCCCAGAAAAAAACTCAGACGACGAACGAACCCGACCCGCCGCGAGTGGCGCAGCGCGAAGATGCGGCGGCGTTTTTCACATGGCGGCTCGAGATGGCCGGAGAGGTATGGCCGAGAGGGCAGTGTAGTCAGGTGAAGTGGAGGCTGCGCCGCGCCGTCGGAGCTACGCCGGTCGCCGGAGACCAGCTAACCGACAGAGGACTGGGCTGAAACAGATGAATCGTTTGGGCTTTTGTCAGTCAATGCGCGTCAACATTTTTTTTATTATATGTTTTGGACCTTTTTAAGTTTTAAATTTCAAAAATAAATTATGGCAAGAATTATTTCTAAAATTTGAACCTTTTGATCACACTATCCTACCTAGTATGATAACACTATCATAATACTCGTAGCGGATGTGATAGTTTTATGTTGCCACAATGCCACAGTAGTAAGACCAGCAAAGCCAAATAACACTATTAGTCTACTACATCATCAGCATGGTAGCATTATTTCGTCACGGCTGTTTGGTTAGCATACTAAAAAAGTTTAGATTTGAAAATAAGTTTTGAGAGAG